CTATCGCAAAAAAAAAAATTACCCCAAATCTCTCTCTCAAACTCTTTCTCCAGCAATTTAACTAACCCTCCTCATCTATTCTAATAATTATTTATTCCTGTTTCCTTCTTCAGTGAAATTTCTTCCTATGTATACTATTATACTTATCCTTCCTTAATCATTAATTTGTATCCTATTATTACAGTGCATATCAAAAACCACAACCGTCTCTTTGCTGCCAGTAGTGACATTATAAACCCATTGTTTGAAAACCTAATATCTTACGTTAACAAAAAAATCTTCCTAAAAGACAAAACCCTACCAATGCATGACAATTTAGATTTTATCAGTTAATAAAGTCTATCTTCATCTTCTTTATCTTCCCCTTAGACCAGGTATAGGTAGTAAAGTCAGGAAGGGGGGGGGAGAGAAAGAGAAAAAAAAAAAAAAAAAACTCCCTCATTTTCCAGTTATTCAGCTTCTCTTCTGCGTCCTTTTTCCTCATCTACTAAATGTCCAATTGAAAATTCTGCTCTCTGAACCAGTTTGAAATTTCTGTAACGTCTGAAAAGGAATATGTCCTTGCTTCATACGTAACGAAAATCTTACATGGATATCTCCATGCATATCTAATGTTCTTCTGGTGCAGGATCTTTGTGTAATTTGCAAACAATTTTCTTTTAATCCTAGTATGATAGGAGATATCTGGAAAAATCTTAATGTCGCTATGTGGATCCTTCATCTTAGTAAGTCTTGATGCTTTTATAACTTGTTCTTTCATTTTATAAGACGAGCAGCAGATCATCACATCTCCCGGTTTACTTTGATCCACATATTCCGGTTTCATAACTCTGTAACTTCTTTCCAGGAAGTTTAATGAGTTTGTCATTTGTATACCCAATTGTGTAAAAATCTCCCTAATATGATCTTGCAATTTGTCACTATTGACAGATTCTGGGATTCCCCTGATTCTTAAATTATTGCGACGGGAACGATCTTCCAGATCTGCAATTTTGAGTTCCATATCCTCTATATTTTTATTTGTCTTTCTCAAGATATCTTCTGTTTATGCTTGCTGAAATTCCATTGATTCTACTTTTTCTTCGTATTGCTTGAGTTTTTTTTCCATCTGTGATAACTCCAATTTGAATTCCAGCAAGCCATCATGTATCTCCTTTTTAATTTTCTCAAGTTGCCGTTCAAAACAGGTCTCAAGATAAATATGTAATTCATCCGTGCTATATTCTCTTGGACTTAAGTTTGAGGATATGCCCATTGGAGATAAATGTTCTACTTCTTTGAATGATTGAGAGGAGGAATCTGATATATTTTGTTGTTGATCTAATTCCGATTTCTGTATTTGCAACGGAACTGACGAAGAGAGCCTTCTATCTGACTTGCATTCTAACTTTCTTTCTCTTTTCATGGGCTGTTTATTTTCTTGTCCTTTCCTAGTGGTCATCTTGAGAGATGAGGCGGATACGAAAAAAAATAAAAAAAATAAAAATTCTCCTTTAAGCCAGGTTCAAACGGACCTTTATGATGTTAACGCTTGTTCCACGCCTTTGATGCTTTTATGCTTTAATTGCGCTTTTTTTCTTTGCTTTATTTTTCTTCGCTTTATTTTCCACTTAGCTTTGCTCCTTTATCTTCTCCCAGTTTATTTCTTCACTTATAAATTATTAGCTTCTGCTTAAACTAACATATTTAGTTTTAGCAAATTAGTGGTTTTAAACACTTAAGCTTGTTTTACAATTCCTGTTTTCTTTTGTAGTCTTAATTGTTGTCTCTGTGCTTTATCTTCAGAAGACTTACACGATATTGTCTTGATATTATTTGTGTTTTACTTTTTATAATAGTCAGCTGAGTCAAATATCTTTTTTTGAATACTTAAAGCACCATAGCCTGTCTGGATACAGGCAATCAAATAGACTCGTTTCACAGTGCAGAGATGGACATAAGCATGGAAATTACATATACTTCACTTTTTTTTTTGTCAGTCTTGTAAGTCTTAGAGTGTTAAGTATTAACAATTGACTTCTATATTCACTCTCATAAATTCAGTAGTGAGCAGCTTTTCCCAAATATGTCAGTGAAGCTCTGCTAAATATCGCTCCACTTACCCACACAGTGACTATTGGTGCGGCAATAATTGCTTCAGACTGGACTCATCCGACCTCCGTCCTCCTCTCTCTTCTTTCCGCTTTCCTTTCTCATAGTTCCGGCTTCAATATTATACGATGCCGAAATCAGTTTCAAGCATCAGGCTTCACACAAGCTTCACAAGGCTTCGCATCAGCGAAGCTGCTTCAAGCGAGTCCTGCGGGTCTCGTCCGATCGGGCGTCCTGGGGCTCAGCTCCCTAAGGCGCCAGCATCTCCGCGTGCAAGGACGTGCGCACCCGCGCGTTCACGTCCTACGTCATCGCTCCACCCCCCTATTGATGATATTTTAATCTAATGGGCAGGTTCAAAGGAAGATGCTACTCAATTTGTACGGGATCTCAATAATTTACCTACACGAGTTAGATTAACTTCAACTATTAGCGAATCTAGTGTTCAGTTTCTTGACATAGAAATAATGATCATTAATCAACAATTGGAATACACATTATTTACCAAACCCACTGACCACAATACAATACTACACTTTGACAGTTTTTACCCTAAACATCTGAAACAATCGTTGCCCTACTCACAGTTTCTACGAAATAACTCACTGGGAGAACAGCGTGAACAACAACTGATTCAGATGTATGAGAAATTCCAAGCGAGGGGATATCCCCGAATGGTTCTCGATAGGGCTCTGTTTAAAGCAAAATCAGTGTTTTTTTCAAGGTCAAAAGTGGAATCAAATTCTGCTAAAACTAGATGCAGGTTCTCTACACAGTTAAATACGGCGAGCTTTGAGTTGAACTCTACAATTCAGAAGCAATGGCACACACTGGAATTGGATCCTTTGTTACCAGAGATTGTTACCAGAGATTCAGCAGACTCCTATGATTTGCTATCGACGGAACAAGAATTTAAGGGACTTATTGGTCAAGACTGATCCACGGCATTGTTAAAATAAGACAAAGAAAGAGAGTATTAATGTGGGGTGTGTGAGGTGTTTGGGGTGTGTAACATGTGGTCATCTCATCCCGTCTAAAACTTTCACACACCTCTACACAGGCAAAGTGTATAAAATCCGACAACGGATTCATTGCCGGACTGACCATGTGATCTATAAACTGACATGTCCCTGTGGACTCAATTATGTAGGCAAAACAGAGACTGCTCTCTGTGAGAGAATTAGTGGCCACAGGTCCAGTATTCGGCTTGACTATCGTGATGGCAAGTCGGATAAGCCAGTGGCCAGACATTCCTTAGAACTTCGACACCAGTTGACTTCAATTTAGTTGTGTTGCGTTGCAATTGAGCATATCCCCATGCTTGCTCGTGTTGGTGATAGAGCTAGACTCTTGTTGCAAAGGGAAGCCTATTGAATAAGCCAATTGGGAACTATGTCCCCGAAGGGTTTCAATTAAAGATTTTCATTTATAGCATTCTTATAGGTACTGTATGTCCCCTAATGAGGATGTAAAATAGGCACTTTAGCAATGCTTATATCTTTTTTGATTTACCAACTTAGTCCTAATCCCCACATTTTTTTGTATTTATCTTTCTATGAGTTTGAGTCAATACTAAGGACAACATTATTAAGCAGATTTTTTGTATTTTTAGTATTATTTGAGAAGAAATCTTTTTAAGTTTTAGAATTATTTTCTTGTAGGATTAGTAATGTTTGTATTTACTTCGCTTTGGCAATAGAACAAGCATTATGAATAACCACATAGCTATGACTTTATTCTTCTGGTTTTGACTAATAGGGGTATACACACTTACTATTTAATAAGACTTGTATTTTTTCACTATATATATATAGACATTATGTCACCCACCTCATTTATTGATAAATAAGGCTACACTCACTATTAAGTGTAGATGGGATTTATTTCCTTATATCTTACACATTCAGGAACAATAAATATTTTTAAATATGCTTTAAAAGTTCAAGTTTGCACAACTCCTTATTAATATTGGAGATGTCTATACATATCACAATATATTTTTTTGCAATTTAGGATTGCTATAGAATAGTCATGATGACTTCACCTAAGCTTTTGGTATTTTATTTTTTCAAATATAATTAAGGTTTTTTATCATTATAAATCATTTTTTATTTAAGTTATTTCATTATGTACACGTTTTGATGTAAATTGCATTATCAATTTATATATTAATTCACACCCACAGGAAATGTACTTAAATTTGATTCAGGGGAATTCAATATCTGTAAACTAATGTCATAGCTGCACTTCAGATTAATTTCGATCTATTATGTGTTATGTTGAGCTCGTGTGTTTCCCTCTAGCACCCGGGATATACGCCGGTTGCTATAGCGACATCACATTTTGACTTGCCGTTTATTTAGAAGACAAACTAAGTTTGTCCTATACGCGATACCGTACAGAGGTGTTTTACCCAATTGGACGTAAGCGTCCCTGGTTGCCCAGGTAACGCGGGATTTAACCAATCATGACGGCACACCTGGTCAGATGACTTACTAACCAGGAATTAGTTCTGAATTAAGCGGGCGGACACGGCGTACACGGCGGCTGATGGTAATGAACACCAGCTGAATGTAAGTACTTCATTATTGCATGTCCTATATAAATGTATTTTCAGTTTTAAGAATATTTGTGATCTTGAAAAAGACCCGGCAGGGTCGAAACGTCGATTGACTTTTGTTGTATACCGCACATGGATTAATAAAGCACCATTTTTCTTATATCTGAAGACCTGTGAGTGCATCTTGATTCTTTCATTTTTATATAATTGACGCCTAAGATCTGCACCCAGGCAAGTAATACACTGTCTTTCTTTTTCAAGGAGAGTGCCAAGCTATCATCTTTATATATATATATATATATATATATATATATATATATATACACATGTGTAATTTTACTCTACCGCATTTTTTTTTTTTTAAATTCTTTATTTTATTTGTGCATGGAAAAATCACATATATCACATCCTGCCACAACAGCTAGAACATGCAGAGTTAAACATAGATTCACAGTAATTAGGCAGGGAAAAAACTTTGCACATTTTTTGGGTTATTAACGCTTGACACAGAGTTATATCCAAAACGATAACTAATAAAATAAGAAGCAGGCTTCACATAATACAGGTTATAATAATATTAGAGAGTATTGCAAGCTAGGTTTTTACGGGCTTGAGATGCCATGTTGGCAGCAATCATCATTCTAGGAACATATGTCTAGACGGTGTCTTAGCCTGTGAGGAGAGTGCACAATTTTATAGGTGTGATTAAACATACTGAACTATGGATCTACACCTGAGAGCTGAGAAGGTATATGTTAGTATACCACTGGCCTCTGACGCCTATTAGACAGCCCCGGCTAATTGTGGTAGATTGAAAATACTATTGGTGCAATGTTGTATGACTAACATATAAACAAGGAAAAACAATATAAAACAATGGAGTGTAATAACGGCACTGGGTTCCTGTTCAACCATATGTGTTAGATATCGAGCTAGGCTAGCTAATTTAGTTGCTGCTATGTGTGGCCTAGCGTGGCGAGAGGCCTGTGGCAGCGCAAGGCCCTGTATTTGCCGCTAACCGATGCCTTTTAGTGGGTCTACACAGTCCCGATCAGCGAAGCGTCCAGTCAGGCAGGGGGGGTGCAAGGCTTTGTCTGTCCCTGGTAAGCTCAGGTGAGTGCAAGCTTGTGGTGTGGTGTTGGCCATAGCCTGGGACAGCGACCCTCCTCCTTGGTGCTTTGCCTTGTGATGTACAAGATCCCTTAAAGGATTCGTGTTGTGCTGTTGGCGGTAGTGTCCAGCCGACCTCCTCGCTTTCAACAATGCTGTAATGATTCGCCCCTTGGGCTGCAGCTGGATGTGGCACTTTAGGTGAGTCGCTTGTGCTGTAGTGGGTCTCCTCCTGTGGTTGCATCGATGTGGGACTGCCACAGCTGGATTGCGGACTGTCCCCCGCTTCTTAGTGTGAGTCAGTGCTTGTGCGGGTGACGAGGAACGGGAGACCCCGGTGGTGTGTGGTCGCAGTGTGGAGGTTACCCGTTTATGGGCCCCTGGTGCAAGCTTATTTTGTTGCTTTGAATCAGCCGCCGGAGGTGCGTAGCCTTGCATGCCAGCGCGCTGTTGCCTCTCTTCGAGCCTGCACCAGAATGCCTTGAATATTGCATCCAGCTTTGTGAGAGTCTCTTCCCTCAGGCCTCGTGGCATGTTATTAGGATCTGCGCCCGCCATCTTGGCTCCCGCCGATTCGTCCCTCATGAACGTGTGCTGGGTCGGCGGGCCAGTGGGTGGTTAGGAATACGGTGTGAGTGCTGGAGCCGGGATAACCCCCGCCGGCAAGGGGGGGGGGAGGGGAGCTCTTGCTGTGTTCTCGTTTATCAGCAGGATTGCCAGCAGGAAGATCGGCCGCTTCTTCCACGCCAGCCCCGCTTGTAGGCCGCAGTTGTGCTTCGAGGCTATGCTGCTCGTTTTGCGTCTACTAAGCTGCCCGGTGTTGCAGAGATGAAGTTAGCTTGTTACCAATCTTCAGGTATCTGATTTTGATCGGGTAAGAGTTCGTAATTAGGGCACTTTTGGAGCTTTTCATACGGAGCACAATCTGCATGCATCCATTCAGGTTGGCAGCCAGGCCCCGCCCCCCCCGCATTTTTTTTTTATCATTATGAGTTGCTTATTACAGTTAATAACAATAGCAATCCTGTATGTGGCCTATACCAGATTCTAGTTCTGAGGTTTTCCTTGTTAACTCTAAGTGTATTTTTATATTAATATATGTATATAATAATAAAATAATACACTTAGTATGACATTATATATAAGATATATATATATAAGATATATATATATATATATATATACATATACATACTATATATAGATATAATATATATATGTGTATATATATATGTGTGTATATATATATATATATATATATATTTATATATATATCATGTATATAAATGTGTGTATATATATATATATATATATATATATATATATATATATATATATATATATATTTTTTTATTAACCTTTTTACTTTTTAAAAACTTTTTTCACCAGAAGGGTGACTGTCTGTCATTTCAGGCAGTCCCACTGCATGCAGAAGATAAGTAGAAGAGACAGCACTGGTTAACCAACAGGCAGCAACCCTTTAAAGGGAATCCCTCCAAACCCTTTTAGAACAAGAAGAGTGAAAAAATAAAGCAAGGGCTGCGCCACAGTCAATATCACTGTGGACGCCTATTGTGGCCTTGTGACCGCTCTTTCTTTTCTACCCCTCGAGGCACTCAGCAGACAGGCAGAGCATCGGAAGCCTGCTGTGGCGAAAGTAACCTTGCCACTGGTTCTTGGAGGAGTATGTTTGCCAGCCTCATGCCTCTGTACTATGAGCCATGCAAAACAGCTCATAAAAGACTAATATTCATGCTTTTTGCTATCCTGTTCAAGAATCGAACAGATGCACGATCCATGGACCACCCGGGAGCTTGTTATCACCTTGGAATGGTTCTCACCACAGTGTTCTAATTGTTCGTCTGGGTGGCTGCAATTCCTATGGAAAACCATGAGGTGGTGGCCATCTGTTTTTTTTAATAATCCCTGGTGGAGGATTCATTATTTTCCACCAGGGATTATTAAAAAATAAACACATTTCCCTTGATACAGTGCCATAGTTGCCAACATTAGAAAAAAAAAACTCAAGGACATTTTGCAGCACAGCTATCAATTACTGTGTATAATATCCCTGGACAGTCAGTGCTCTCTGTATAATACAGGGTTGTGTGTATAATAAATTGGGACAGTCAGCGGTCCCTGTACAGTGCTGCTCTCTGTATAATACATGGCTGTGTGTATAATATCCCGGGAGAGTCAGTACTCCCTGTATAGTGCTGCTCTCAGTATAATACAGGTCTGTTTGTGTATAATATCCTAAGACAGAGAGCAGCACTATACAGGGAACACTGAATGTTCCAGGATATTATACAGACACAGACCTGTATTATACAAAGAGCAGTACTATACAGGAAGCACTGACTATCCCGGGATATTATACACACAGAGATCTGTATTATACAGAGAACAGCACTATAGTATTATACAGATAGCTGGGCATATACCCCATGTCCCAATCTCTAGACTACTAGTACCTGTCAACAGCAGCTCACGCGTCTGGGACAGGGCTAAAGTGTGCGACAGCTCACACAGATGATTCAGCGGTAAAGCCCCCTGACTGGCAGAGCCAAACTGAGAATCCAAAGCAGCCCTGGAAAAAAAATGTATGCCATTCCTTCATGTCTATATATATATATATTGTATATATATATATATATTGTACAGTAAGAACACAAGCTCACTGACATGCGCAAATAGGCTTACTGACAGACAAAACTCTGATTCACACACAAGCTTAATACAGGCAAACTCACTTGTATAAATACAAGGCTCACTACAAAGAAGTTCAGGGACACACAAGCTCACTAAAGACAAGCTCACTGACACACACATGCTCACTAAATAGAAGCTCACTGACACACACAAGCAGTACCATCTTAACAGTGTTAAGGGCCCCGGGCAAAGCAGTGCACTGGGGCGCTTCCTACACAACAACTCACGGGAATAAAAATTGTAATTATTGATAGACTGCTGAGTACATACACACAGTACACTGAATACGAACACCGAGAGACTGTTGAATACACACACAGATTTCTGAATGCGCACAGGCTGATTTATACACTTACACACAGACTGTTGAGTCCGTACACACACACTGCTGATTCCATACACACACACACAGACATACAGACTGCTGAGTCCATACACACACACAGACACAAACAGACTGCTGAGTCCATATACACACATACACACACACACAGACTGCTGAGTCCATACACACACACATACACACACACATACACACACACAGACTGCTGGGTCCATAAACACACACAGACTGCTGAGTCCATACACACACACACACACACACCGCTGAGTCCATACACACACACACACACACACACACACACACAGACTGCTGAGTCCATACACACAGGCTGAGCCATACACACACACACACACACACACACACACACAGACTGCTGAGTTCATACACACACACAGACTGCTAAGTCCATACACACACACAGACTCACAGACCGCTGAGTGCATATACACACACAGACTGCTGAGTCCATACACACACCCACAGACTGCTGAGTCCACACACACAGACTGCTGAGTCCATACACACACCCATACCCACAGACTGCTGAGTTCATACACACACTCAGACGGCTGAGTCCATACACCCACACCCACAGACTGCTGAGTCCATACACACCCAGACTGCTGAGTCCATACACACACACAGACGCACACATTGTTGAGTTCATACACACACAGACTGCTGAGTCCACACACACACAGACTGCTGAGTCCATACACACACACACAGACTGCTGAGTTCACACACACACACACACAGAGACTGCTGAGTCCATACACACACAGACTGCTGAGTCCACACACACACAGACTGCTGAGTACACACACACAGACTGCTGAGTTCATACATACACACACACACACACACAGACTGCTGAGTCCAAACACACACACAGACTGCTGAGTCCATACACACACACAGACACACAGACTGTTGAGTTCATACACACACAGACTG